ACCATAAACGAAGGATTTTACGTAAGGAAATTGGGCAAAGCTTGCGTAAGGACCGAGAAGCCTGGTGGTCGATGCGTGCTAATGAGCTGGAAGCAGCAGCTGCATCTGGTAACTACCGGAAGCTCTTCCAACTCATCCGAGCCACTGGCAGCAAGAAGTCTGGTGTGAGTGAAACAATCTGCGAGGATGATGGGATGCCAATCACTAACATCCATCGACGTCTTGGACGATGGGCAGAATTTTTCGAAGGGCAGTTCAACTGGCCTGCTGCTCCGGTAACATCGGTCAGACTGTCCTGCCCTCCATGGCCGGTGACGACTGATCCACCAAATGAGGAGGAAGTCCGCAAGGAACTCCAACTCTTGAAGCGTTACAAATCACCTGGCCCAGATGACTTACCTCCGGCTCTTTTTAAAGATGGTGGTGACTTTTTGACTAAGGAATTGACGACGTTGTTTACAAAGGTTTGGGAACTAGAGAGTGTACCAACGTCATGGAATGAGTCGATAGTTGTCCCTATCTTTAAAAAGGGTTCACGTCGTTCCTGTAACATCTATCGGGGGATAAGTCTACTTCAGATTGCGTCCAGGCTATTGGCTTCCGTCATTCTTCGTAGGTTGTTCAAACCCCGAGAGAGATTGACTCGCGAGGAGCAGGCTGGGTTTCGTTCTGGTCGAGGATGTATTGATCATATCTTCACCCTCCGCCAAATGTTAGAACACCGCCATACTTTTCAAAGGCCAACAATCGTAGTGTTTCTTGACATCAGGGCTGCCCTCGATTCGTTGGACAGGGCTGTCATCTGGGATTGTCTATTGAAGAAGGGTGTGCCTGAGAAGTTTATTAACATCCTAAAAGCCCTGTATAAAAACACCTCAGGCAGAGTGAGGACATACAACCACCTCTCTCCATTGTTTCATTCGAGCAGTGAGGTTAGGCAGGGTTGCCCAATCTCACCATTCCTCTTCAACTTTGCCATCGATGACATTCTGGAAACAGCTCTGATGAATGTAAGTAATGGTGGTGTGGATCTGTTGCCTGGAGAAAGACTTCTCGACCTTGAGTATGCGGACGATATTGTCTTACTGTGCGATAATGCCCAAGACATGCAATCCGCACTTAATCAGTTGGCAATCAGTGTCCGTAGGTATGGTATGTGCTTTGCACCTTCGAAGTGCAAAGTACTCCTACAAGACTGGCAGGATTCCAATTCTGTACTCACCCTGGACGGTGAGCAGATAGACGTAGTTGAGAAGTTCGTGTATCTGGGTAGCTGCATAAGTGCTGGTGGGGGTGTGAGTGATGAGATCAATGCACGAATAGTGAAAGCCAGAGCGGCTTATGCCAATCTGGGCCACCTTTGGCGCCTTCGTGATGTTAGTCTGGCTGTAAAAGGCCGGATCTACAACGCGTCGGTGAGAGCAGTTTTGCTCTATGCTTGTGAAACCTGGCCTCTCCGAGTTGAGGACGTTAGACGACTCTCTGAGTTCGATCATCGTTGTCTCCGAAGGATTGCTGACATTCAGTGGCAACACCATGTCAGTAATGCAGAGGTTCGGCATCGTGTGTTCGGGCACAGAGATGATAACTCAATTGGTGTCACCATCTTGAAACACCGACTTCGGTGGCTTGGACATGTTCTCCGAATGTCGTCCCAGAGAATTCCACGTCGTGCATTATTTGCCGACTCTGGGACTGGTTGAAAGAAGCGGAGAGTTGGTCAGTGTATGACATGGTGTCGTGGTATGAAAGAAAGCTGCAAAGGGCTGGCTTGTGTTGGTCCTTCACGACTCCCTGGTTGGGGTCTGAGAGACGGTGCAACACAGTGGCTAGAGACGTTATCAGATATGGCTTAGAATAGAAGCCAGTGGCGATCCTGCTGTAACTTTCATTTACTTTCTTCATAAAAAGTGGTTGTGTCTGCCTTACCTGAAAGATTTCTTCTGATTGTACCTTTCCGTTCCCTCATTTCTACCATACTACCTTACACCAAACTCCTCGTTATTGTTCTCTTCTTTTGCGCTTATTAGCTTTTTTTTCTATTTCTCTTCGAATTCTCATTGTTTTGTGTGGCGCATATATATTGGCGCTCTCTTGTACCAATATTCATGTGTTCAAATAAATAAATAATTAATTAATTCTGATAGTTCTCGTTGGATTACCTTCAGTCGGTACTCAGCTTTCAGTAGTAAGGGTAAGAAATCAGTTCACCAATAATAATCCCTGCAATTTGCAGTACTGTGGAAACCCAATCTCTCATTGAATGCATTAATATAAGGTGCTGATAGTACGTCTTATGAAAGAGAATTTCAATAATTCGCTACTTGCTGCGAGAAACCGGATTCTAGACGTGAGCGATTTGTTCTCGATGTTTGAACTTTCTTAGAATGTCCTCTCACATGATCGGTCGGAGATCGACGAAAAAAGATGAGATATAATTGTACCAATATCATCCTTTAATATACATTAAGCCAGTATTAGACCATTCTGTAGCCTGTGGTAAGATGACGGAAATATGTTGAGGCGTTTCAGTCTGTCTTTGTAAAACAAGCCAGGGTAACGCATTTGGATGCTCTTGCTTGAAAAGTACAATAATCAAAGAGAACTGGACTATGTAGTCGTACCTTGACTACTCCACAACAAATGACTCAACTTCAATGGGTATGAACATGGTCTGCTCCGTCTCTCTTCCTTTCTGTTTCTTACCCTCCTTTTCAGCCCCCTTGATATATGCCACCGAAAACACATGTGAAACGCGTTACTTCGTCCTGCGCCATCGTTAATGCTCCAGCTGTTCCAGAAGGATATAAGATCGCAATTTCTAGAAGTTCTCGACTGTACGTGGATTTATTCTCGACCATCAGTTGCACGTCGCAACGCGACATCCACAAAGCGCGCCAATTGTTATATTTACGATACGAGTCTAATTAATATTATTTACATTCATGTGTGAGAAGAATTATACCACTTTATAGTGAGGCTTAGTTTTTGTTTAGTTTATGAAACAGAACAGTTAGGAGGTTATCTTTTTCAAACACACATAGTCTTTCAACATTCAACATAAAATAATAGGAAGTATAATCCCTACACAAAAGAAGGAAGTGAGTGAATACTTGTGCTGTAATGTTCTGACATTTCTAAGATATTTGGGTCCAACTATTAACCAACCGACCTAGGTTGTTCCAGGTCTTAGATCGTGGTTTACTATCATATTCAGATTCTCGTGAAACAGATCTAATGTTACCAACGTCAGACACGTGCAGTAGCAATTTATCTTCGCATCTTCGGTGTACACATAAACACACTTAGTTGCTTCGATAGACACCAACCACCTTTCAGACCAGCCTACCGGATAGTCTTTGTTGGCCTGGAGTGTACATACATCTGCGTACCTCGTTACTCCTTGCCAAATTTCAACATCATCAGCACAACACAGCACCAGGGACTTAACCATACTCGGGAGTTCCTTTAAACATGGTGTAAAAGGTAAATGACCTAGAACATAACCTATTGATACTCTACCAAGTACTGCATTCCAATGTGAGGGTTTGGCATTCATTTTTACTTCATGTTTACGACCTGCCGAAAACTCTCCTATCCAATTTAGATTTCTTCCGTCGCATAATGTTCATTCAGTCTCAAACAGAAGATGCTTGGTATGAACCAAGATGTTTGAGTTCGAATGCATGCTGTAGTAAAGCATGTTCTAATACCGTCATCAGGAGCCTACTATGAAAAGAGTTTTCAGATCTTACGATGACCCTATCTGTCCAACTAATATCAGGAGCATTAAAATATCCTAATATCAGGCATCTGTTGTTTTTAATCTATTGCTCAACGTGCTCTGAGAAAAAGTCATCGGGTAAGCAGATTGAAATCTCTTTTCGAAACTACAAGCACTTTTATATAAGACTTCTAGAGAGAATGACATACCCACCCTAGTTTAGCTAGTTCCGTCTTTTTTATTCTGTCTGCCAGAGACATGTCGATCTTCCTCAATTGTCGATGTTTTTGTGAATCCGAGCCCTAACATACAAAAGACGTCGTTGTTCCTCTAACCCTAGGATTATCTTGAGGAGTCTATATGGTCGAAGTCCAACATTGTCGTTGGTCCCTTTACACACTATGACCAATTATTTGATATGAACTCCTTTAGAGTTGTCTGATGAGATGCTACGAATCATTGCTCTGACCCTTTCTAAATCATGAGCAAGTAAATCAGGACCATTTGGTTCCAACAAATTATTTACAATAATATTCGATGAGATCAAGCTTTCTCCAGCCACTTGGGGTTTGAGTCCAGTCTTGCTTTGGGACTTCGGTGGTGTATTCTGTGACTCAGAACTGGAGTCCATCAATGACTTATCAAAGGAACAGGCACTGTTCTTGGCTTCTTTCACTCATTTGTTTGTTTTCACACTGTCTTCCACTTCTCGCCATTCTAGGCAGCCACACTAGAACTACATGGAACGGTGACAGTTCTATCTGGGTCTCCATGTATGCTTTACATAGCTGACATGACGGTGGTTAGCAATATCGCTTATATGTGACTGGTATGATTCCGTTACACACTTTGTGATACTGTAGTGAACGCTACTCACAAGGATGTCTCTAAGAAGTGTGTAGCGGAACGCCATATGGAGGTCGCATTTACCATCGAACAGAATGAAGGGTTCAGTGTGTCAAAAGCACGACGTCGGCAGAGCACTTGAAGGGTAGTCGTGAAGAAAGTTCAGATATCAGACACCGCGGTAACATGCAAATAGACGATCAAAGGTTATGTATATGTATCACGTAAATACTTTGTAACCTCTCACAATACATACGATGTTCTTACCTAATATTGTGTTTTACAATACCACTTATCAAGCACAGTAGTTTCGAAGCCAAAGAGTTAGAGTAAAACTTCAAAGCTCTGAGGCATGTGCCGGTCTGCCTTTCTGTTTTATCTTTCTGAGCCTAAATGAGCATCCCTTTGTATGCATTGAGGATGTGAGTTTGTTGTAGGTTGCTCTTCACGCGCAAAGATTGAATCTTGACGTTGAGTCGGGTTTTTTTTCCCTTGCCGAGCATGTCTTGTGATAGTCTGTGTAAGTTATGTACCTCTAAAATTTTTATTTTTAATAGTGGGTCTTGAAGATGCCATGGATATGTTTCTGCAGTCAGTGGACTTGGTAATTTTAATGTTTTGTATAATCCTTCGTCCAGTCTAACGATATTGATATGGGTGAATTCGACTTTGCATTAAAAGCTTCAGAGCTCCTCGAAAACTCAGACAGTGATAGTGGAATAAGCGGTTTGTCTGTTTTTATGATAGTCATGTCTTTATACAGTTGCAGGGGAAAAGCAACCAATAAACCAAGAAACTAATGTACGACCCAACGACACTGGTACTGATTATGTTCTGACTGATGTTGTCGATGCTACAACACGTGTGTCCGACATTTTGCATGCAAATGACAAACGTTGCGGGGTCCAGGTGAATGGTTTGTCAAAGAGCATACCTATCAATAAACCGGGCTCTAACTCTACTATTCCTAAATTTAAAAGGATTATTATCAACTCTGTTGGTGAAAAACGTCTACTACACAGCTCTTTGGTAAAGCCATACTTTTCGGCTTTCTATCCTCAGAGCGTAAATTCTGGTGTTGGTCACAATTTGGCTGTACCAAATGTATTGCAGCCGTCGGAGCATTCTGGTGTCACAGTAAAAACTGTGCCTTCTAGTGTTACTCCGTCGTTTGAATCCTCAAACACATCTCCGGGATCTTCTGTGAATTCACCTACTAAATCAAGCATGGATTGCCGCTGTAAGTTCTATGCAGGACATGGATAAATATTTTGCCTGGACATTTAGGGCGATAATATTGTTTTATACAAAGAATGCTTTAAAAACATCTAAAACAAGTCACTTATAACTTAAAGGTGCCTTTGATTTCTAAGGTCACAATTCAAACCCCCTAAGTAACTAAGAGCAAGTTTTAATGAAATTAATTCACCATTTTATGGGCGAATTACATCTTGTTTGATACATGATGTGTTTTAACAAACTTAATATGGATCTTGTGAACCCATACTGGTGCTCATGAAATACCAAAAAGTTAAACCTGGTAAAGAGTTTCAGAGGGACTGATCGATCTCAGTTTCCCCCAATGCATATATATATATATATACTGAATAAAATGTCCTTAACAAGCCATTTTACTTTTAAATAAGAAATAAACAATATCTCATACCCCCCACTCGATAAGCTGTAAGAAATTTAGTTAATGTGTATTTGGTTCGAGTCCAATTATATCCGTTGTTTTCTGTCCTAAGTCCTATTTAGTCGTCTGGTATTCATGTAACTGAAGATGTAGGGTTACTGATTCACATACTTTCCATTGTAAAAGGATTGATCCACCTAGAATGTACAACGAATAAAATCAGTAAGTGGTCAACACTATCTCAAAACCTTGAGAGCAGCAGAGTGAAATCCCACCTACAAGACACGAAATTTATGTACATTTGAATGCTGATCAGTACATATGTATTCAAAAATCCTATAAAGTGAATACTCCAATATGTTCTTTTTCTTTGGATTTGCCCTTAAGCTCCAGTTAGTCAGTCAGTCACAACGCAGAGCCTGTACTTATGTACATGCCCCCAAATGCCATGGTACGGCCGAGTGGGGAGAGTCCGCTCTCCCTCTCGAAATGCTCTCACATGGCCACGCGTATATGGCCTCTGCCAGGGAAGTCCTACTCACTGCCTTCTCGTGGCGGGTTGTTTACGAAAATGAGAGGATGAAAAGCTAATGTCCGGCGCTTTAACCGGAGTCCAAACCAATGGTGCACACAGGCTCCAGTATCCGGCGGGAACAAATGGCGTATGAACCAATCGTTGGTCACCGGCTACCATGGGACTGCATCTCCTCATGATGCCCCACTGCCTTGTGGGTTAGACCTCTAGGTCAAAGGTTCGGGGTGTGGCCCCTCTATGGAAACCACCTGCTTCGGTTTGGGCACCCGGGCAGTATCACAGCCTTCACACATATCGGATGAGATTTGTGTGGCGCATATGTATTTGGTGCCTCTTTGTACCAATATCTATGTGTTGAAATAAATAAACTTATGTACATCGGTTCATTTCGCCGTAAACCATTAGTACACCGAGATGAAATGGTCAGGTCGAATCCCAGAATAGTAGAGGTAGTAACAGTATCAATGGTAATTGGAAACATTCGGTATCGAAGAAACAACTCGAAAATATAACTTAGTGAAATAAGAACAAATAAGGTTCTGAGGAATTTAGAATCTTACAATTTAGGTGGACGGAAAATGGATCCACTTGCGCCATTGCAAGCGACTTTGAGCCATGTCATTTAAAGTTTCTATCCATTAGTTGCGATAATTACGCGGACCCCAGCAAGGTTGTTTGTGCCTACTAACGTATCGAAATCCAACTGTCAGTGGCTTCGTAGACTGATGCCTTGGTTTGGCCACTCCTAGTTGAGCTCCAACTAAATATCAGGTTACAATGCAAGTTAAGACTATTGAAATAATACCATTACAATATTCTCCAGTGGTTACTACTAGAAGATTTCTGTCTTTACCACCCCAAGCATGTAATTTTTAACTGTTACGTTACACTCCCAAGACCAACTTCATTTGGAAGCCAGTGACCAACAATTAGTTCATACGCCATTTGTTCCCGCAGGATACTGGAGCCATACCAGGGCATTTGGGGGTATTAATGTTTAACTTCAGTCAAATCACGATTCTGCCCAACCCTTATTCATTACCTGCGGTTATTAAATATCTTACACCCGGCACGGTTAAACCTCACTGTTCACCTCTCCGCACTAGAACTCCTCGATTTGCATTCCGAAGCTGGCTGGTTGTTCTAGAGGTTGATCGTTCACACACAAGACCACAGGTCATGGGCTGGGATCCCAGATACGTGGTTGTAGATGCAAACTGCTTAGGAGTTCCATGTCACGACGAAATGGCTGTTCATTGCTTTCAGTAGCTCAGTAGTAGTCTGGTTATAACCAGTTCATGATTTAAACTGAAAATTTTATAATTTTCACAAATGGCCTAAACGCAATTTTGTCAAGTCCACTTACTTTTGCGTTATGTTATTGTGAGTCAGTTAAAGAGGGAACCTAAACATCATATGGATATTTTACAAGATGTCTCTGTTGGAAATCAGGCAATGCATACGTAGTTGGAATGATTATTTAACCCCGTCCTTAAGGTTTTCTATTTCCTAGACGACTAGCTACGCTATTCTGTTTAAAATACTTAACATGTACTATTATCTTTTCTTATAAGCATTAGACGAGTTTTTTTCCGCAGTAAATGGGGTAACTGAAACTTATGAATACTGTAGGAACGCGATTCCTTCAGATCCTTCACTATGGCAGCATTCAGTAAGTTTTCCATTTTTTACAGTTTGTTACTTTTAGTAAATTTGAAATATTTAATATTAAAATTGCTTAGGGGAAAGACATTTTAGTTATTTCCTCTCGCTCTACTGTTTTAATATAGAAACTTGTAGTTAAGGAATTCAAGGAAAGAGATAAAAATGCATTTTTTCTAAATTTCTTGTTGGCTAATTTAATATTTAGCATGTTACATTTATTGTTACTTAAGTATTTCTGTGTATTGAAAAACTGCAGTTGTCGAAATATATTCATACGACCTCTCACTTCGTTTTCTTATGAAATTGGAAACGTGCGATAATGCATAGCATAACAAATAAATTCACTTAAAATCTTTAAAATATTCCTCATCCGTAAACTATGTTACTTCGAATCGACATATTACAATTTAGTTCTATCTTATCTTTTTGTTTACTTGCTACCATGTGTTCTTAAACCATAAAAACGAAATATCATCAGCATCAAGCTTTTTAAAATCCAAATCTAGTTTATTAAGATAAATAAATTGCTTATAACTTAACAAATGTAGGTAGCTTCGGTGTTGTTTAATTTCATCTCTTAGCGAGTGTGAATATAGACTAAGTTTATATAACAGCTATTTTATAATTACTATTCTGCTGGTTTGTCAGTAGAAATTTTAAACTAAATGACAGTAGTTTTTAGATGGATAAGTCTTAGCAACTTCAAACGTTTTACAGTTCTTTCAGTTTAAAGTAATAGCTATAAATTCCCGAGAGTTGATTACGCAATAATATGATTTTCGTGACTGGTAATATGTTTAAAGTTTGATATTTGTTGGTTTGTAAAAGTTTTCAGACTATTTTCAGTAGAATTTTAGGTGATTCTGGTGTGGAATTTGTAGTTATACCGGAAAACTGGTAAACAGGTTTTAATTTATGTGACTATTATAATTACCACTGATATACTTATTGATAGCTCACATTTTCTATTTTATCAGATTTATCTTGGAAGTTAGTTCCCAAATGTATGTGCTTGTGTGAATAAAGTGTCCATTTTTCCATGCAAATTTCCAGATGTTTACTCTTGGCCAAAAGTATTATATTTCAATATTTATTTCATCTGTTTATTTCAGTGAACAAAGCTAATATTGAATTTCTGGTAATAGTTGTTCACAGATCCATTAATCGCTTTCTAATGTTTGGTCTTATATCACTACCAACTAAGGTAACTGGTAGTAAAGAGTTTCGATACTAACATAGATTACTCAAAAATTCATTAACATAGATCTAGTTAGTTCGTCTTTAAGTTCGTAGAAATAATCAAGTAGTTACTGAAAGCTCATGTTTAGGTGAACATCTATTTCTTCACACCGTTATTTTACAATACTGAAAATAAAGTAATCCTATCAACGCTACTAGTTAACGGTTGCTATGACTATGTAAGTCGAAGTTGATCTATGATTTGGACGAAATCCTTGTGTGGTGTCTGTTTGCAAGATATAAACCTATGTTCTCTTTACTGTAGTTATTTCCTTGTATTCATCAGGGCTCCTCATCACTTATTTTTATACAGAAAAATATCCCGAGCACATCATATCCTGATTCTGTTTTCGGGAGTAGTTCTCAATTCTCACCAACGTCATTTCTTGATGTGCAAGATTTTTCGGGACCTAACGAATCCATCATAACACAGACCGACTTGGAACGCATACGTAAAAAGCAAGAAAGAATGGTGAAAAATAGACAAGCAGCATGTCTAAGCCGGTTACGTAAGAAGGAGGTAATTAACCTTGTACTATGTTCATACTTTATAGTATTGAAATTCCAGATAATTTGAGTGTGTTCGGATTTTAATCCTACTGATCATTATCACTTCTAAGTAATTATCAGTTCTAGTTATTATGGCTGGAACGGTTTCGCAAAACTAGTAATTTTTATGAATCCAAAAATGCATTGTGCTCAAACTGGGCTGATGAACATAAGGGTCCGCCTACAACAATTGAAAAACCGTTTTTCCAAGTCAGTGGTGTACATAAGCTTTAGGGTTCTAAATGAACGAGTAGTGTACAAGCTTATTCCGGTCACAGACTACTATGCCATTGCTTCTTTTGATATTTCTATAGTGCCTCGATGACTATACTTTTAATCCAGATGCCTACGCAATGATCGCTAACACTGGTGAGTAGCGAAAGCAAGAGTGATGAAAAAGGCAGCGGCAATAGGTAACAACAGACAACTGTTCAGACTTGTCAAGGAAATTGGTATTAGGAATCCAATTGTTAGCGAAAATATATCAGGAAAAGACGCACATATTATTCAATTTCAATTCAGGTGACTGGATCGATGGGCAGAACACTGGCCTTCAGTCACATTTCGGTTTCCCACGATCTCCAGTCAACCTGAATGGCAAGTTGATGTAGGTCCTCCGTCTCTTTACGAAGTTGAAAAAGCCATAGGAAATCTGAAGCGAGACATAGCAGCAGCCCCTGACAGGTTTACTCCTGAGATTTTTAAGGATAGTGGTTCAGTATTAGCAGTGAGATTAACCGAGGTCTTAGGTAGAATTTGGAAATTGGACGTAATCCCATCTGACTGGTCTCAATCACTGATTGTGCTAGTCTATAAGAAAGGACAAAAGTCCTCTTGTGACAATTACAGAGGAGTCAGTTTGACTAATATAGTGTCTAAAATATTAGCTTCAATAATACTTCGACGCCTAACTAAAACTCGTTAAGAGCAGACTAGAGAAAATCAGGTTTCAGACTTGGACGTGGTTGTATAGACCAGATATTCACACTACTTCGGGTCCTAGAACACAGACACATATTCAGACGCAATGGTAGTATTTCTCGACCTTAAGGCGGCATTCGACTCTATTGATCGCGAGGTTCTATGGCAGAGTTTGACACTGAAAGAAGTACATTAATCTTATAAAGGTCTCTATTCAAACGCAACTAGTCGAGTGAGAGCTTATGGCGAACTGTCATCAGAATTGATCACCTCAAGTGGTGTTCGTCAGGGCTGTCTACTCTCACCATTCTTGTTTAACTTTGCCATTGACGTGCTTTTAGAGATAACATTTTCCTCATCTAAATTTCCAGGAGTTGTACTTTTGCCGGGAGATTCACTTGTTGACTTAGAATATCGATGACATAGTTCTATTTGGTGAAGACGCAGAGTCTTCTGACCACTCTAAGCATCAATGCAAGCATGTTCGGGATGCGATTCTCCCTCTCGAAATGCAAAATGTTACTTCAGGATTGGGTTGCATCGACACCTGAACTAATGATAGGGAGTGAAGTGGCTGGGCGTGTCGACCACTTCCCTTATCTTGGGAGTTTCGTCAGCCCTTGTGGTCTGGTGTGTGACAAAATCTCAGCACGGATACAGAAGGCTCGACTAGCTTTTGCCAACTTGCGTCATTTATGGTGTAGGCGAGATATCCGTCTATCAACCAAAGGACGTATTTACTGCGCAGCAGTTCGTTCCGTCCTACTTTATGGCAGTGAAACATGGCTGATAAGAATAGAGGTTATTTGTAGGTTACTAGTATTCGATCATAGGTGTCTTCTAAATATTGTTCGTATATCCTGGGACCATCGAGTAAGTAATGTAGTTGTTAGGAAACGGGTACTAGGTAAGGATGGCAAATCAATCGATGACGTAGTGAAACTTCATCAGTTGAGATGGCTGGGATATGTGTTACGTATGTTCAACCACCGACTGTCCCGACGAGCGATGTTTTATGGTGTAGGAATAGGTTGAAAGAAATCTAGGGGCGGCCAGACCAAAACATGGCACAAATCCATGAAGTCACTGACAAGTGGACTGAACCGTGTTGGTAGTTGTAGACTACTTGGTTGGGATACGCGAGACGATAGCAACCAATGGTTAGAGACCTCGAATGACATGGCTCAAAATTGTCTGCAATGGCGCAAGTGCATCCACTCTTTGTGTTCTCCCAAATTCTAATCTTCTGAATTCTTCATGTCCCTTTCTCTTTTCTCTTTCCAAATTTATTTCACTGGATTATACTCCTTGAATAACATCTTCAAACCCTGATCTTTCCAATGACGGCTTAAACTTTTACTACCTCTACCACTATGGGATTTGAATAGACAATCGTGTCTCTGTGCTAATATGGTATGGTAACTTGAACTGATGTACGTACGTACGAAGTTCTACGTTGTTATTAACCGACTGACTGACTATCAGTTTATGGTGATTTTCGTACACTCAACTTCAACGTATCTTAGCTGTGCTGAATTATCCACAATGTATTCTATTCATGTATTTTATGTGTATTTTAGGTCATAATTAGTTAGTTGATTCCCAATCCGTTTTTTCTTGTCGTAATTAATTCACTGTGGTTCTATGTTCAATAACAATTACTCATTTGGGAAAATCCTATAATTGATATTTATTGCGTTGATATGTGATTGAATTAACTGGAATGTAGATTAATGCTTCTGGGGTATCATTCAAGAAAGTTTCTATACAAACTATACTTCATACCCCGGTTGGGGAAAAGAGAAAAAGAGGGTAAAAGTAGTTTCCTTCACCTTATTGAAGTTTCAGTTGCACAGTAGTAGCTTATTTCATGAAAGTGTCACTCTTATTTCACAATATTATCACTTCATTTTGCTATTTCTGAAGAGATTATAAAATCGGCGAACGGAACGAAGAATCAGCGACACAATGAAAAGACGGCTTAGCTATTCTAATGCGTCCCAGCCCCGCTAACTAGAGGGAGGAGTTTAGGTTCAGATGAGGGAAAGTATATTCTACAAGCAGTTAGAAGCACGAACAAAAACAAGCGCACAACTCAAGCGTATATATACAGCATAGAAATCTCCCTGGGAATCGTCACAAAATAACATGTTTAAAGAGAAAACCAACCAATTACATTTAGGGTCCTCCTAGGTGGGTAATACAATCTGAAGGTAAAAATGGACACCTTTAGTGCGAAAACTAGAAATTCGGATTTCCAAAATAAAATTACAAAAATAAGACGTTTACTAAGTGAGTTCTGGGGATCTAACATCCCCGATGCATTCGGATGGTGCATTATTTTAACACCTCATTGTACCAGGATTTATTTAAGTTAGGTAACCTTACTGGTTATCAGTTACGGTGGAGCTGTTGCATTCATATCGTTTTTTGTTCAAATTTTTAGTTTAGTCTCATTCCGTATTTCCTATCTTTCGATTTTATTCCTTCCTTTCAAATTATATTTCCTATATTTCACTTCTCATTGTAATTTACGTGATCTCCACTTCATCACAGTGGAGGAATTTGAGATAATGAAGACCACTTAATTGCGCTAGCTAAAGACTGGAAAATTTTTAGATGCATTGCTTGTCATTTTGTGAAACCGCTTTGTACCAGATTGGAGCTCCAAATCATGATTTCCATTTTATCGTCTTTTTTAATTATAAACAAGCCCATTGTTTATGCACCCGAATTTCAGTCATGGATCCCCATCCACCTTCTGTTTTTAGTACCTAGAAAGGTTAGAAATGAAGTTCGAGCAGCTAAAACGTGAAAACCTTTTACTTTGGCGCCAGAATGAAGAGTGGCGTGCACGATGTTTCCGTTTGGAACGTTGTATTGAAGATTTACAGTCACGGCTTCCAAGCTCTATAAATTCAGAAAACCTAATTGTTAAATCTCAGTCGTTTGACGTAAGTTCAGACGAGACGACAAATATTTCTTCACACCTTGACAAACAAATTACTCCTCGAGAGGCTTGTTGCAAAACAGTTTCTGTGCACACATTAGCACCACTCAATGAAGTCACTGTTGGTTTCAAATCAGATACTCCACTTAGTCGTCTTCCAAGGTTGTCTGATCTTGGAAAAAGCAAGACAGTTTCAATTCAGCATTTAAAAAATTGCCAAAACGTAGCTCCCACTCAAAAAACGAGTAAGTTTTACTATTTAAAGAATCAGATTTTATTTCCACGGACATTTTCCATATAAAAGCTTTTAGTGATCTTATTTTGTTTATTATTTAGCTTTAAGACACTTATTTCGTGCCTTCGGTGATTGAGAAGCACTATAACATCCAAAATAGCCTCCTTCAAATTACCTTGGAGTTCATCACATCACACACATAACATATTAACCAATATTTCATATCTGCCAACATTTTTTATCCAGATTAGATTTACCTGTAAACACAATTCGGGAAAGTAATTTATTTGTGCGATTTTGACTTATTAGAAAATCTATATCAATAAAGAGTACGTCAGCGCAATATCACTATTTAAGACTGCTGTTGATGGAGGAGGATTCACCGTCCACTGTGTATAGGTGATATATATATATATATATATATATATATATATATATATATTCATTCCGCAGAAATATTGGAGTAATAATGTTACATCTACCTACAATCAGCTATATTCATAGATATGTATAATGTCCGGGTATTGTATTACGTTGAAAGTCAAATCTTTTTTCCCTAATTCTTGTTTCAGCCTACTTTACGAGTGTAAATTCCCCAAGAACGTTCAAATGGGATAGTTCTTCAAAGAAATTGTTACTTACAAGTAAAGTTGATGTTGAATCGCATTCACAGTCTCTATCACATCAGTCTCAACTCAAATCAATTACTAAAACCTTGATTTCTCCTCAGCGAATCGTTCCTACCGTCAGTCATCGATCTAAAGTAATTGCTACCACAAGTTTACTGGTTATGTGCGGTCTGTTAGCCGTGAATATAGTTCCTTTATCAGATTTATATTCTGGATTAGGATTCGTATCTTCACATAGCATGTCTTATGATGGTGGCTCCCTTGCTGCTGGAAAATTTGGTAATTTGTATTGCTAAAAATAAATTGTTTGTAACCCCTATTAGAAATGTGTATGTAATTTGTTATAGAAATCATATTTGTAAAACTATCAAAACCTTCGTAAATTTTCTTTATATTTTTCATATATATATATATAAACCAAATTTGCAATATCATCCTATCACTTAAAAGATGATTATTATTATTATTTATTATTTGAACACATAAATATTGGTACAAGAGAGCGCCAATATATATGCGCCACACAAAACAATGAAAATTCGAGAGGAATACAAAGAAAGAAAAAAAAAGCTAAGGAGCGCAACAAAAAAAAGAGAGAACAATAACGAAGAGATTGGTGTAAGGTAATGTGCTAGTAATCAGGGAACGCAAAGGTACAATCGGAAGAAATCTTTCAGGTAAGGGAGACACAATCACTTTTTATGAAGAAAGTAAAAGAAGGTTACAGCAGGATCGCCACTGGCTTCTATTCTGAGCCATATCTGATAACGTCTCTAGCCACTGTGTGGCACCATCTCTCAGACCCCAACCAGGGAGTCGTGAAGGACCAACACAAGCCAGTCCTTTGCAGCTTTCTTTCAAGCCACGACACCATGTCATGCACTGACCACCTCTCCGCTTCTTCCAACCAGTCCCAGAGTCGGCAAATAATGCACGACGTGGAATTCTCTGGGACGACATTCGGAGAACATTTCCAAGCCACCGAAGTCGGTGTTTCAAGATGGTGACACCAATTGAGTTATCATCTCTGTGCCCGAACACACGATGCCGAACCTCTGGATTACTGACATGGTGTTGCCACTGAATGTCAGCAATCCTTCGGAGACAACGATGATCGAACTCAGAGAGTCGTCTAACGTCCTCAACTCGGAGAGTCCAGGTTTCACAAGCATAGAGCAAAACTGCTCTCACCGACGCGTTGTAGATCCCACCTTTTACAGCCAGACTAACATCACGAAGGCGCCAAAGGTGGCCCAGATTGGCATAAGCCGCTCTGGCTTTCACTATTCGTGCATTGATCTCATCACTCACACCCCCACCAGCACTTATGCAGCTACCCAGATACACGAACTTCCCAACTACGCTACCTTGACGCGGTGGTCGGGCTTGCCTATCGTGATGACCCAACCGAGCTATATTGGCTGGAACATATGTTCCTGCAGGTTCTACCATGCCAGGCAGGTCGATTGGCGAACGGTAAGACTAAAAGCAGCAACTCAAGGTCTGAGGGCGAAGTCGTACTGCTGACTGTAGAGAGGTGTGACAGCAGTAAGGTGTTTCCCTCGGACAACCAGCATCTGCAGCGATGCTGCCTTCCCACAAGGAGGGGTGGGGTTAGAAAAGGTCGACCCTAAAAATGCACACCTCACCTTACCTCACGGATTTCCGTCTCCGGCGGTAAGGCCCCTTGAAGAACGGAGCTAACACGTCAAAAACCTTCCACAAAAAGGCCGTGCGCGACCGGCCTCAAGCAGTTGTCCCTTGGGCTCTGCGGTCACGCTCCCAGGTCGTCAAGACCAACACTAATCCAATTTCCTTTTCAGGTTTCTCAAGAAATACCCTTCCACGGTGTGGGCAGCCGGGAAGTGACATCAGCCCTCATACCCGTAACAGCACAAGAGACCAAGGTGGTCACATTCAAATCCTTCCTACACCTCCTAATACCTCTCTTATCCTCCCGACTAACCCTCCTCACGTCTCTTTATCACCTCGCACCGCTAGGGCAAACGATTCGAGTACGTGGAACGCTATTCCTGGTCTCCTGAAACCACGCTCTAAACTACACGTAGGAGCTTTTAACGTACGAACACTTTGCCAAATAGGACAGCAGGCTTCCTTAGCTAAAACTTTAGAATCTCGCGCCATCGATGTGTGCTGCGTCTCCGAAACGCGCATACAGGATCCAAGTAGCGTCATTCATTTGACCTCACCATGTCAAAATAAAGAACCGACTCGATTTACGCTTCGTGTATCTGGAAGCCCTGATTCTGCTTCCCGTGGCCTCGCCGGCGTAGGTATAGCATTGAGTCCTAGGGCAGAACTAGCTCTCTTAGAGTGGATCCCAGTAAACAGTCGTTTGTGCGCTGTCCGACTGAACGGAACAGTAAGAATCCGGAAAGATAGGGACACTCGTCGTTGCCTCTTCGTCATCTCTGCTTATTCTCCCACTGACTGCAGCTCAGATGATGTAAAAGATGAGTTTTACAGAAAGCTTTCGGACCTTCTCCGAAAAGCTAGGCGCTCGGATGTAGTAATAGTGGCCGGTGACTTTAATGCTCAAGTAGGTAAACTAAGCGATAAGGAAAGACACCTAGGTGGATCCTATGGTGTCGTGGCTCAAAGAACAGATAATGGCGACCGTCTGTTGCAGCTATGCTCAGATAACCGCCTGTTCCTTGCAAATACTAACTTTAAGCATAAGGATAAACATCTTTTAACATGGCGACCCCCTAATTCGTCCCAACGTTGGACCCAAATAGATCACATCGCTATCAGCCACCGATGGAGGGGCTCGATAGAAGACTGTCGCTCATTCTGGAGCACATGCTTAGATACAGATCATGCTCTAGTGCGAGCGCGTATTTGCTTGCGTCTTACTGGACGTAGGAAAGACGCTGCAAGGAAACCTCTTAGGGTCCTACTTAATGATAGTCAAGCTAAGAGTATATTTCAGGAACAACTAGGAAAACAGTTAGACAGCCATGTATGTGATGCCCACCCCGATGCAGCATGGAATGATATCCGAAAAGCTGTGGAAACAGCAGTGATATCTGCTAGTAAGGTAAACCAGAAGGTTAGGGAGCAACACTGGATCTCAGCAGCATCTATCTCACTGATAAATGCTCGGAAACACATTCCACCTGGCTCTGAACATAATGAAGAGCAGAGTCAGCTTAAGCGCAAGCTGACGAGAAGTCTACGCAATGATCGCGAACAGTGGTGGGTAGCGAAAGCAAGAGAGATGGAAAAGGCAGCGGCAATAGGTAATAGCAGACAATTGTTTAGACTCGTTAAGGAAACCGGAATTAGGAACCCGACCGTTAGCGAAATAATCTCAGAGAAAGATGGACATATTATTCATTCTCAATCCAGGAGATTGGATCGATGGGCAGAACACTTTAGGGATCAGTTCAACTGGCCTTCAGCCACATTTCGGTTTCTAACGATCTCCAGTCAACCTGAATGGCAAGTTAATGTAGGTCCTCCGTCCCTTTACGAAGTTGAAAAAGCCATAGGAAATCTGAAGCGAGGGAGAGCAGCAGGCCCTGACAGGTTTACTCCTGAGATTTTTAGGGATGGTGGTCTAGTATTAGCAATGAGATTAACTGAGGTCTTAGGTAGAATTTGGGAACTGGACGTAATCCCATCTGACTGGTCTCAATCACTGATTGTGCCAGTTTTTAAGAAAGGACAAAAGTCCTCTTGTGACAATCACAGAGGAGTCAGTTTGACTAATATAGTGTCTAAAATATTAGCCTCAATCATACTTCGACGCCTAACTAAAGCTCGTGAAGAGCAGACTAGAGAAAACCAGGCTGGTTTTCGACCTGGACGTGGTTGTATAGATCAGATATTCACACTACTTCGGGTCCTAGAACACAGACACATATTCAGACGCAATGGTAGTATTTCTCGACCTTAAGGCGGCATTCGACTCTATTGATCGCGAGGTTCTATGGCAGTGTTTGTCACTGAAAGGAGTACCAAAGAAGTACATTAACCTTATAAAGGCTCTCTACTCGAACACAACTGGTAGAGTGAGAGCTTATGGCGAACTGTCATCAGAATTGATCACCTCAAGTGGTGTTGTCAGGGCTGTCCACTCTCCCCATTCTTGTTCAACTTTGTCATTGACGTACTTTTAGAGATAACACTTTCCTCATTTAAATTTACAGGGGTTGAACTTCTACCAGGAGGTTCACTTGTTGACTTAGAATATGCTGATGACATAGTTTTATTTGGTGAAGACGCTGACAAAATACAGAGTCTTCTGACCACTCTAAGCAACAATGCAAGCATGTTCGGGATGCGATTCTCTCCCTCGAAATGCAAAATGTTGCTTCAGGATTGGGCTACATCGACACCCGAACTAGTGATAGGGAGTGAAGTAGTTGAGTGTGTCGACTGCTTCACTTATCTTGGAAGTCTCATCAGCCCTTGTGGTCTGGTGTGTGACGAAATCTCAGCACGGATACAGAAGGCTCGACTAGCTTTTGCCAACTTGCGTCATTTATGGCGTAGGCGAGATATCCGTCTATCAACCAAAGGACGTGTTTACTGCGCAGCAGTTCGTTCCGTCCTACTTTATGGCAGTGAAACATGGCCGGTAAGAGTAGAGGATATCCGTAGGTTACTAGTATTTGATCATAGGTGTCTTCGAAACATTGCTCGTATATCCTGGGACCATCGAGTAAGTAACACAGTTGTTAGGAAACGGGTACTAGGTAAGGATGGCAAATCAATTGATGAAGTAGTGAAACTTCATCAGTTGAGATGGCTGGGACACGTGTTACGTATGCTCAACGACCGACTGCCTCGACGTGCTATGTTCAGTGGTATAGGAGTAGGTTGGAAGAAAGGTAGGGGCGGCCAAACCAAAACATGGCACAAGTCCATGAAGTCACTGACAAGTGGACTGAGTCATGTTGGTAGATGTAGACTACCTGGTTGGGGACCGCGAGATGACAGCAACCGATGGTTAGAGACCCTGAATGACATGGCTCAAAATCGTTTGCAATGGCGCAGGTGCATCCACTCTGTGTTCTCCCAAATTCTAATCTTCTGAATTCTTCATGTCCCTTTCTCTTTTCTCTTTCCAAATTTTTTTCATTGTATTATACTCTTGAAATAACATCTCCAAACCCTAATCTTCCCGATTACTGCTTATACTCTTATTACCTCTACCACTACGGGATTTGAATCGACAAGTGCATCTCTGTGCTAATGTGGTGTGGCAACTCGAACTGATGTACGTACGTACGAAGTTCTACGTTGTTACTGACTGACTGACTGACAACTACGTCTATCTGCTCACCGTCCAGGGTGAGCACAGGATTAGAATCCTGCCAGTCTTGTAGAAGTACTTTGCACTTCGAAGGTGCAAAGCACATACCATACCTACGGACACTGATTGCCAACTGACTAAGTGCGGATTGCATGTCTTGGGCATTATCGCACAGTAAGACAATATCGTCCGCATACTCAAGGTCGAGAAGTCTTTCTCCAGGCAACAGATCCACACCACCATTACTTACATTCATCAGAGCTGTTTCCAGAATGTCATCGATGGCAAAGTTGAAGAGGAATGGTGAGATTGGGCAACCCTGCCTAACCTCACTGCTCGAATGAAACAATGGAGAGAGGTGGTTGTATGCCCTCACTCTGCCTGAGGTGTTTTTATACAGGGCTTTTAGGATGTTAATAAACTTCTCAGGCACACTCTTCTTCAATAGACAATCCCAGATGACAGCCCTGTCCAACGAATCGAGGGCAGCCCTGATGTCAAGAAACACTACGATTGTTGGCCTTTGAAAAGTATGGCGGTGTTCTAACATTTGGCGGAGGGTGAAGATATGATCAATACATCCTCGACCAGAACGAAACCCAGCCTGCTCCTCGCGAGTCAATCTCTCTCGGGGTTTGAACAACCTACGAAGAATGACGGAAGCCAATAGCCTGGACGCAATCTGAAGTAGACTTATCCCCCGATAGATGTTACAGGAACGACGTGAACCCTTTTTAAAGATAGGGACAACTATCGACTCATTCCATGACGTTGGTACACTCTCTAGTTCCCAAACCTTTGTAAACAACGTCGTCAATTCCTTAGTCAAAAAGTCACCACCATCTTTAAAAAGAGCCGGAGGTAAGTCATCTGGGCCAGGTGATTTGTAACGCTTCAAGAGTTGGAGTTCCTTGCGGACTTCTGCCTCGTTTGGTGGATCAGTCGTCACCGGCCATGGAGGGCAGGACAGTCTGACCGATGTTGCCGGAGCAGCAGGTCAGTTGAACTGCCCTTCGAAAAATTCTGCTCATCGTCCAAGACGTCGATGGATGTTAGTGATTGGCATCCCATTATCCTCGCAGATTGATCACTCACACCAGACTTCTTGCTGCCAGTGGCTCGGATGAGTTGGAAGAGCTTCCGGTAGTTACCAGATGCAGCTGCTGCTTCCAGCTCATTAGCACGCATCGACCACCAGGCTTCTCGGTCCTTACGCAAGCTTTGCCCAATTTCCTTACGTAAAATCCTTCGTTTATGGTCAGACTCACGGTCACCCGGAGTAGACCGACGGGCTTCAATGAGTTGTAAGGAACCAGAAGAAACCCAGTGCTTAAAAGCGGGACGTTTCGCAAACCCACAACTGACTGTTCCCGCCATTTTCATGGCGTCATGCAATTGCAACCAATGCTCATCTATACTTTTCGGTGGAGTGGTAGATAGCCCAGAAACTAGCTCGGTTTGATACTTACTTGCAACAGAAGTTGCAACCAGCTTGCTAATATCAATCCGTTGATGGTGGTCACTTCTTTGTCCACTGAAAAGTAAGGCAAGATTGGCGCAGACCAAGGCATGGTCAGAATCCAGATAGGTACTCCAAAAGGAGCGGCAGTCTTGTACACAACCACGCCAGCGGTAGCTGATCGCGATGTGATCAATCTGAGTCCAGGCTTGAGATGCAGAGGGAGGACGCCAGGTGGCACATCGGCGATGACTGTGCCGAAAGTTAGTGCTAGCCAGAAACAGGTTGTGGTCTGTGCAAAGTTGCAGTAGACGGTCTCCGTCCCCGTTATCTGACCTGCGACCAACGAGTCCCCATCGGCCACCTAAACGACTCTCTTCTGTGCCTAGACACCTGACCTGAGCATTCAAGTCTCCGGCTAGTACTACAATATCTGTCGAACGCACTTTCTGGAGAAGAACTGATAACTGGTGGTAAAACTCATCCTTGATTGCATCCGGGCTGCAATCTGTCGGGGCATAGGCGGAGATGACGAAAAGACATCGTTTCTCACGCCGATTTCTTCTCACTTTGATGGAACTTTCTAATCTAACAGCACATAACCGACTGTTAATGGGGATCCAATCGACTAGTGCTGCCTCAGCTCTAGCGCTTAGTGCGACACCAACGCCAGCAAGAGCAGACGAAGATGCCACAGGGTCCCCGGATAAACGCACGTAAAACAAGCTTTTCGAAGTGACAGATGGAGATCGAATTTGTAGTACTTCGCCAGAGTCTTGAATACGGGTCTCGGATAGACAACACACGTCGATATGAAGACTTTCCAAAGACATAGCCAGCCCTATCTGTTGTCCGACCTGCATAAATGTGCGAACGTTGAAGGCAGCCAGTTTGAATGGTGCACGTGGTTTCAGAAAATCTGCTTCAGTCCTCGTATTCGGTGGTAACATACAATTTTCAACCGGACAGTGACTCGAGAACGTTTAGATACAGTCGGATTTCCACCAAAGACGAGCCGCTGTATAAGTATAAAAGAGGGTGAATAATGTGGAAAATAATAATAATAATGATAATAATAACAATAATGACAATAATAGTAGTAATAATAATATTAGTATTAATAATGACAATAATTGTAATGATAATAATCTGAATCAATTGTTTGTTTTTCAAAGCGAGAAAGGTGTTTTCCATAGGCATAAAGAGTTCATCAATTTGTGTGTGGGCTGTGATACTGCCCGGGTGCCCAAACCGAAGCAGGTGGTTATCTTAGGGGGCCACTCCCCGAGCCTTTGACCTAAAGGTCAAACCCACAAGGCAGTGGAGCATCGTAAGGAGATGCAGTCCCATGGTAGCCGGTGACCAACGATTGGTTCATACGCCATTCGTTCCCGCAGGATACTGGAGCCCATGTGCACCATTGGTTTGGAATCCGGTTAAAGCGCCGGACATTCGCTTTTCGTCCTCTCATTTTCGTAAACAACACCCCCGCCACGAGAAGGCAATGAGTAGGACTTCCCTGGCGGAGGCTGTATACGCGTGGCCGTGTGAGAGTATTTCGAGAGGGAGAGCGGACTCTCCCCACTCTCGGCCGTACTAGGGCATTCAGGGGGGCCAAAGATGATATGTCCGTATATAGACGATGCGGTGCAAGAAAATTTCCATTCAATTGTGTTGTTATCTAAAGCTGTGGAGTCATTAGCAGTTATCTGACACAATTAGTAGGATGTTGTAAAATAGGAGTTACATCATTAACTAAGTGTTGTAAAGCTCAACAAAAATAGTTGCGTAATGGTTTGGACGTTGACCTGGGAGCTGGAAATAGGTCTAGTCGTAATACGATAAGATAATATGCATAGCATAAATGACCCAAAGAAGAAACGAGTAGATGTTAATAGCGATTTACCAAGTATAAGTATTCGGCAGTGCGGTCAAACGAATAATCAAGCAAAATAACTGTAAACTTCACAAACTAGCATGGTAATGATACATCTACGTGAAATTCAACTGCCCTGTGTCATCACACATTCTTCGAAACAGTATAGCAACTTGAATTCTGTACTATTTTCTAGCCGGAATAAGAATTTACTAAAAATTCGTCTCAATAATATATATCAACGATTCGCTCTAGTTGCTGGCGTGAACGATTTGTCTTCTAGCTAAGTTATTCCGGATGCGCTCAACTTCAGACAAGAGGAAGGATCATCCTGTATTTAAGTAAATGAGATCATTGAAAAGAAAATATTCAAGGGTATTGGAAAGTGTTATAATAATATCACTGGGTGAAAACTGTTGATTTCAATCGTAACCTCTAGTCCTTAAATCATTACAATCTGTTAAGCTTGTTCCTCTGGATGCAGTTATTTCTTGTCGTCAACTATTTACTAATGGATTTCGTTGGTTGTTTTTACGACTTCTCGGTGTTTAGTTTATTACCTTTTCTGTTTTTCAAAAATTTAGCTTTTGGTTATCCCGGGCTATGGTCATCTGTGCCACATTTTCCAACTGGGCGACGTCTTTTATTAAATATTCCACCTACACAAGAAGATGTTTTAACAAATGATAATTCACTGCAGAACGCCTCAAATAATGAATTTCTATTTTCTGGAAAATTTCCAACTAACCATTCTACTAACAACTGTGGTCCTAATAAAAACATGAGTTGCGCAGAGAATTCCTTACTTACGGATTCCAGACAAATTTTTCAAGTTAGTTGCCATTCTGATTTATTGTTATTACTCTGTAGATTTGAACTGAAAGCTTGTTCATATGTTTTTGTTTTTTCTTTGTTATTCATATTTCATCCAAATTTTTTTACTGCTTATAAATTTTAGTCTGCAATCATCGTTGTTCATATTTCTCATGTGGACTTACGTTATTCCTACAAATTTCAAATACTAGTCGTCAGTGTAAACGTTACTAAAGGGGGTTATGAATGACATGCCAGTCCTACTGTTTTTCCTTATCCTAAATTGCAATTTTCCTACTCCGCTGTTGTCAACATTGGACTTAAAAGAAACCTTTTTACAACTATTATGATAGATATTAATATAATATAAAAATTCATTCAATCCATTCCTCTATAGTATTCGCTACATCGAAGTGGTGGTCGGGCTTGTCTATCGTAATGAACCGACCGAATTTATATATCTAAGATAGGGTCTGGGATATGAACGTAATCCCATCTGACTGGTTTCGATCTCTGGTCTTGCCAGCCCACAATAAACTACAACACTCTCCTTGTGATAACCACAAAACAATCAGTTTAACTAATATAATTTCTAAAGCATTAGCCTCAATAGTCATCCAACGTTCAATTAGGGCTTGTGAAGTGCGAATTCGGAAAAAACCAGGCTGGTCTCAGACCTCGGTAGGGATACGTAGACCAGATATTTCCCTTCTGTCATTTTCTGAAACACAAACATACCTACCGACCCTCATCCTCAGTTTTATTTGTCGACTCCGTAAATTGTTAAGTCTTATGTCAAAGTTTATCATTGAAATTCTTATACTCGAACATTACTGGTCGGGTGAGAACATATAACGAAGTGTCTCTGAAATTTATTACTTCACGTGGTATTCATCGGGGTTGTCTACTTTCCTCACTTTTATTGAGATTTGTCACAGAAATTCTTTTTCGAGATGGAAATCTTATGATTTGATTTGTCAGGAATCAGTCTTCTACCAGAAAATTCACTTATTGACTTGGAATATGCAGATGATATAGTCCTGTGTAATGAACAGGTTAAAAAAAGCTTTATTCTGATTACCTTGAGTAACAACCGTATCAAGATGCGTTTTCCTCCTAAATCCAAAGTGTTACTTCATGTATGGTTTCGGTCCACGCCTGAACCAATGCTAATGAGTGAAGTTGTTGAGCGCGTCGATCACTTATCTTAGAAGTCTTATCACTCAGCGGGTTGGTGTCTGATAAAATCTCAGCACGAATCAAGAAAGCTCATCAGCTTTTTCCACTTATGATGTAATTGAGATACCATTTTCTATTACCACTAATACTGTTACTACCTCTACTACTGTGGGACTTTACCTAACACCTTAGTCTCGTGCTAATGGATTATATCAACTTGAAGCAATATAAACAGTGCCATGTTCTACTTTGTATATAAATAACTGAACAATTAATTGGTAACTGCGAATATTAGGATTCATCTATTCTCCTTGAATTTCGCGCTTTTTCCTTAATCACTCATCTTTATTTTCATAAGACGTCTTATATATAGTTGTTTATCTGACGTTTTAGGGTTGGATTAAAAGGCATGCTGTATCTACCAGTAATCAGTCCCGTGTATACAGGTTACTACTCACTTCATCTCTTCATAGTCTAAACGCGTTTGAACACCGACAACATATAGTCAGTTCATCAAAACTTTCACAACAAAATGTATTACATACTCAAAAACCTGCTTTCTTACCTATGACACATTTAAATAATTCATCTTCCAAATCGATTTCGCCGTCAAGAAATGAGTCATTAGAACGCTTTTCGGCTAGGAAAATTAACGGTTCTATTCTGAATGTTACAACTGAATCATTACCGCCCAACTTTCCTCCACCTCATCGTCCTCCAATATGGAAAAAATATGATTTGCAGGTACTTCATTTTATACATAAATCCCATTTGTGATTATTCCTCTTATCTTGCATAAATAAAAACGTTCTGTTACAGTAGCTCATGATCACTGTTATATTTCAGTAAATTATTGTCAATACATTAAGAATAGGCGATTCGATTAAAATACTGTTATATAGAAGCTTCTAAACAGTAGTCACTTAGGGTCAACATTAGTATTAATTCGGTAAATATAGTAATATGTTAACTGCAAATTGACATGTTAAACTTTCTAACTGCTTGAATAATAGTTGCTTTAGTTATGAGTATACTCTTCTAGTAGTCTTCTTCGATTAATATTTTTTAAATTAGAATTGTTATGCATTGTCGTCATCTCAGAAAAGTGTTTTTGGCCTGTAAAATAAAACAAGGTTACATTATTAGCTGTCAATTTCCTTTTCAAATTTAATAAAAAGGGATAATTCATATTGTGGTTTTAGTTACTTTAGTGAGATTTTTGTAATCACATGGTCCGTTTATACAAGCATCTGGTTGCTAGTCATTATAAGCCAGTCATAAAAAAGTCAAACGAGATATTAAGTCATACGTGTTTATCGCTTCTAAATACTGATTCGCGTGTATTTCAAGTTATTTGATCCTTTTATATTATCGTGTATAGTTGTAGGCTAACGTTTTACGGTTATCTTATACTGAATAAAATAGAAAAGTGCAAAATGAGTGAAACAAGTATTCCATACCAATAATTTCGTAATGAATGCTCATAGTTTTAGACGGGACTAATGTTTTTAAGGCCTAGGATGAATACAATCGTAATTCAAATCTAGGGAGAGTTAACAGTGTCTTTTCCGTTTGTTTAGACACCTGTTTGTCTTTTAAAAATTATAATGATTTTCTAAAAATTCACTAATAGCAAATATATTCTTCCGCAAATTTGTTGATTTGTTTTGTTCAACGTAGACGCATTTCTACTATCGAATCTCGTATTGAAATTGTTTCATTCATCCTCTTTTGTAACTGCTTACTCATCAATCACTTCCCACATCATCTCAAATTATTTAGGATAATATCAATGAATCTGATGTATGTTGTCTTTGAAAGTTCTCTTTCACTAACCACTAATTGTCCCTTGAATGTTTCATTTAACTACTTTCGATTTCCTAATGAGTTTGTTTAAAGTATGATTTCATGAACAATTTGAATGCTTTGTTAATTGTTAATTATGAAGCCTGTTTTGTTAATCAGTTTTTTTAGTTTGTGCTTTGTGATGTATCTTCGGTTTCTGAATCTTTAAATCATCACTGGGTTTGTGTTTGTGTATAGTTTTTGTTAACTTCTACAAACATAATCAACAAATAGTTATGAAGGGAAAAGTTTCATCTAAGCGCCATTTGGTATTGTCTAGTAGAAAGTTATTGGCCAGAATTATACAATAATTATTATGTGGTTCGGTAGACATGAAATAAGCTCATTTTAGCTGTCGAGAGCATGGTTCGAGCTCCGCATCACGTACTTCGGGTTAGCTCACACACTTAGAGTATAGATCAGTGAACCAGTTTATTTAATTAACTTAAATTTACCGGATTATAAACACGAACCAACATTATCGATCACGCTTCATCAGTTCAACTGATCCATATGTGTTCCGAAGTATTGTTTTTCTGTCTGTGATTCTGAAATTTCGCCACTGTCTATTCCATACTACAGACTTCATTTTAGCTCATTTCAAATTCTGTTTTTTTCTATTAGGGTTTAAATCAACTCATCTCTAACAATAAATCACATATAATACCAAGTATAAGTGTCAGAACTTACAAATAACAAAACATAATGTCGACATAAATTACACAAAACATTTCTATTCCTATTTGTATACGTATGTCATGTAATTTCCGAGAGTATTAAACACATAGTGAAAAAGCTAAATGGGATCTCGTTTTTGGATTTTAGCTATATTCATGTACAGTGAGTAAAACTAAGCGAAAAAGTCATTCATTTTATTGTTTTTCTTCAAAAAAATATGCATTTATTCCTTCAATAACGTCACACAGCTATGTGTCCCTGGAATCAGAATTAGTTCACATTTAAGTACAGTTTTTTTCGTTTTTTCTCAACTTTATATTTCAACTGTTTAGGATTTCATCTGATTTCATTGCCATTCTTATCACCAGCAGTCATATGCATTACATTAATGTTAGTTCCGTTTATCTCAATCTAAGGTTTTTACATTTCAACTTTTTTCTGTATTTTTCTACATTTATATGTAAATGAACACTTACTCAATGAAAATACAATAAGTGAATTCTAAATTGTGATAGCAAAATGAAAATAATTGTAAAACTGTGATGAGAATGAATTTATCGTTTATACAAACGGTCTGATAACACCAGTGTGCAATAGTTTTTAACCTAGAAGTGATTCATGCTGTTTTGTGTCTTTTACTGGATTTTTATTTATATACAAATGTTGAATCTTCTTGATCGATTTCATTATATAAAAGAAGTTTTCTATACGGTTTTTGTTCTAATATAGTCATTGGGTATAACACCTTTTAAAAAAACTATACTTCATATAGTCTAATCTTATCACCTAAGTATACAAACATAATGCGTGCATTGAAAGCTACAACCAAGTTTTTGCTTTTTACACTAATTTATAAGGTTGCTTTACTTTATTGTTCTAGGCCTAACTTATTACATATATCTGTGAGCAAGATACTTGTGTAGCTATACTCTCAACTGTTCTTTTATTTATGATAATTGTCACTGCAATTAGTACCATTGTTTTATTATAAGTGGATGAACTTTGTTTTCTGCATATTCAAATTTTTCATGAAATATACTGTTGTGAAATGTTTAAATTGGTAAGTGAAATAATTGAATTGTGCTTATCAGGAAAACATTTGAATGACCAATTGATTTATATACTTTTACATGTTTGGTTGTATTCAATGAACAAAAAGATATTTATTTAGTTATTTTGTTCACTAATAATTTGTTCTCAATTTATATTGGCAGTAAACCTTTACAATGAATTGTTACTCTCATTTACAGCACCTATTAATTAAAAAATTTGCAACTCTTTGTTAATCATAACTATTGCATAATATTTATGTTTCACTACCATATTATGACTATAGATATCTGTCTGCACGACTTTCTAGGTGTTTTTCTCCAATATTAGCATATAAAACGCATAATTTAAATAAATTGTGTGTTCTTCGGCATAAAAGTCCTTTATTTATAAAGTTACTTATGGTTATTGGTAATGTTTATAGGTGACTTGATTTAGATGAAATTTAACTGATAAGTCAGTCAAATCATCCAACTGCTTTACTATTTATAAACAGATTAGACATTGACGAAATTTACTATTGTTTCAAGAGAAGGAATTTCTAAGCACATATTTTTCCGTAAAGACTGTTGGTTATAGTAGTGTTGAAGTTGTTACTGGCACGTCTGACTAAATAATGACATTATTGACGCCAACAGAAACCTATCGATTGAAATGCTAACAAAAACTACGAGAAATTACAAACTATTACTGACTGCTGGTAATACATTACAGATTAACTTCATTTGCATCGTAAAATTATTGGTATTTCTATATGTCTATTTATTAAATTGGATGTATCATCCATTGGTCAACTGTTTTAAGGCGTAGCGTTTTCACAAAATTTCTACTTTTCAATATTCTATTGATGTTGAATGGTATCTCTATGGTTCTTCCTTTCTTTTTTATAGTTCTGCTTAAATGGTTAGTATGTATGATGAGTAAATCGATTTTATTTTTTTAATTCTTGTTCATAACATTCTATAGTATCATTGTTTATTCTTATTTATATCAAGTTTTTTTATTACTGTCAGGTAGCAACGCGAATGTCAAGAAAATTAGTACTGAATTTTTCCATGTATTGAAATCCTAACCTCACCTAATGTTTGATCACTTGTCTAATCCAATTAAGTGAATTTTATTCAAATCACTAAACCAATATTCTTGACTTAAAGAACACAGCTGTTTTACTGTTGAAGTTGTTTCATTATTATTAATTTGATTGCTAATTGGGTTCACGTAGTTTTCCATAATTTTGTGTGAACGTTTATTTTACTGGTTTATTTAAACTCCTTAAAATAAGACTGTAGTTCAAAGAACAGATCTCCTTGTAGACATTCTAATCTCTGTTCGTTTACAATATTATAAGCATTTAGCTGTAATGAAGCGAAACACGTTAGACTCGTTACTATTTTAGGATTTAGAGGATTAATACATAATTTACCCAAGGACATCAGCTTTCATTGACTTCGAAAATATTATTTGATGTGTAGTCGAAAATTATTGAATACTGTTTCTATCTGGTTCACCCGCCCTTATCGTATATTAAATAGTATCACTTCAGTCTCTCAGTAATATACGTCAAATTGGTTTATTTGGCTTCATAATAACATTACCCATTTATACTTTCAGTTTTTACGAGGTTCTACACAAAATAATGTACTGCTGTGTTATATTTGTCTATTGTTTCCTTCAATGAACAGTGGAACAATGGTTGATCATTCAGTTGTTCGACTTAAGTACAAAGTAATGTCATTTACCGTACATGATGGGTCAGCTTTAGTTGTGCTATTGAATTTAGAAATCTCACACGTATTCACATACTTTTATTTCGAACTTATCACATAGTATCTAAGATTATAAAGTATCTGAAATGCCTAATCAAATTCCTTCCGTACCCAGATATTAGATACTTTTTTTGCTGTTTTATCCAATGCACATTAAAACATTATTTCTGTAACTTCTTTTTCAACTAATCCATATATATATTTCTGGTTTTATCTTTTTACTAATATCATTTCAAGCCTTACATTCATCCTGCTGTTCACGCGTTTGAAAAATTATTTAATATAGTTAATCGTCGCAATGATACAGCATACATTGTTTTTTTAAACCGGGATCATTTCCTCCTGCCTTCAGTTGATCCATTACCTGCAAATATGAAACAGAAAATAACGTTCCTACTTCCAGCTCATTCTGTGATCAACGGTAAGTTAATATAATGTTTTTTATTGGTTCTAAAATTTTTTAGCATATTTTTCAGCCTCGTGCATTATTAGTTAACCATCTTAACCTGAAAAATTCTGAGTCTAACTGTAGTGTCATTAGTATAATCTTATTTTATGGATAATACTACAAATAATCCTTATATAAAAAATACTATCCACTTTCCAATCCTTTCATGAAAGTTTAAATAAGTAATATTTTTGGCATCATGCTTGTTATGAGGCATAAAAATATTCGGTTTTATTTCACTTGATGTAATTTCATACTACTGATGAGTTCTAGGATGAAATGGAATACGTATCTAGTGCTCTTTGGTGTTCAACTGTTCTGCAGTTAATGTTTTTATTTATGATTAATAGTAACCTTAGAAATCTACTTGGCAACTGTAACACCATGTTTCATTAGAATCGTATATATCTTACTGGTATTTATATAAAACTGAAAATATTTTACTGTTTTTACATCATTTATCAAATTTAAATGTATTCATATTTATTGGTTGCTTAAATCTCGTTGATACTTAGAACTAAATTGATCAGTATTTTTTTGTTATATGTGCATCGTGTGCAGATATTGTCGTTAAGTCACAAGTCTTATAAGCAGAGATGTATGGTATCTAGTTGTCGAATCTGAAACGAGTGTTTCGTCTCGTTCGAGACTCATCAGCTGGATGTAACTGCATTCCCAAATAAACCATCTTTTCGGTTGACAACAAATGAGAGGACGAAAAGCGAATGTCCGGCGCTTTAACCGGATTCCAAATCAATGGTGCGCATGGGCACCAGTATCCTGCGGGAACAAATGGCGTATGAACCAATTTTCGGTCACCGGCGACCATGGGACTGCGTCTCCTTACGATGCTCCACTGCCTTGTGGATTAGACCTTTAAGTCAAAGGCTCGGGGTGTGGCCCCCTAAGATAACTACCTGCTTCGGTCTGGGCACCCGGGCAGCATCGCAGCCCACACGCAATTAATGAACTGAAATTGTGTGGCGCATATATATTTGGCGCACTCCTGTACCAATATATATGTGTTCAAATAAAATAAAATAAAATAAAACTCTACAAAATGAGAGGACACCGTATGCTCAAAACTACTTTTATGACATAGTAACTAAAGTAACATTTTGGATGTAAAGTTAAAAATAAGTGTGAATAGACAATATCCCGATAATAAACTGTATGATGTAGAAACAGACTAATTCATCTAGATGGATACTGCATTCATGCAGTATTCTTATTGTTATTATTATTAAATAACATTGCTTGGTTATTAATTTTCTTAATATCTTACTCCTTATATTGTTTTGCCTAAGGTTATACCTAAATTATTAGCGTGTACGCATATTTTTATTTTTCGTTTATTTCATTTTTCCACATTGTTAATCAGTACATTGAGCAGCCTACCACTTTATATTTTCATGAACAAAGGGTTTAATTCTTCTGCTTTTTACTTACTCCTGTTACTCCTCGTGAAGGAGCATGGGCCGCTCACCAGCATTCTCCATCCAACCCTGTCCTGAACAATCCTTTCCAGCTCCTTCCAGTTGTTATTCATCCTTTTCATATCTGCTTCTATTTCCCAACGTAATGTGTTCTTTGGCCTTCCTCTTTTCCACTTCCCTTCACAATTCCACGTTAGGGCTTGCCTCGTGATGTAGTTTGACGATTTGCGTAGTGTATATCCTATCCATTTCCATCATCTTTTCCTGATTTCCTCTTCAGCTAGAAACCGGTTTGTTCTTTCCTACAGAAGGCTATTGCTGATGGTATCCGGCCAATGGATGTTGATTATCTTGCGTAGGCAACCATTTATAAATACTTGTACCTTCTTGATGGTGGTTGTTGTAGTTCTCCAAGTTTCAGCTCCGTACAATAGAACTGCCTTGACGTTGGTATTGAAGATTCTGACGTTGATACTAGTTAAAAGTTGTTTTGAGTTCCATATGTTCTTCAACTGAAGGAATGCGACCCTTGCCTTTCCAAACCTCGCCTTTACGTCTGCATCTGATCCTCCTTGTTCATCGACGATACTTCCCAGGTATGTGAAGGATTCTACATCTTCCAGAGTTTCACCATCAAGAGTGATTGGATTGCTGTTCTCCGTATTGTATTTGAGGACCTTGGTTTTTCCATTGTTTATGTTGAGGCCTACTGCTGCAGAGACTGCTGCCACACTGGCTGTCTTTGTCTGCATCTGTTCGTGTGTATGCGATAGGAGGGCTAGGTGATCTGCGAAGTCCAAATCGTCTTATTGGTTCTGAGCTGTCCACTGTATGCCGCGTTTTCCCTCATATGTCGAGGTCTTCATAATCCAGTCGACACCAGAAGAAAGAAGAAGGGAGAGAGTAGACAGTCTTGTCTGACTCCGGTCCTTACTTGGAATGCGTCTGTCAGCTGTCCTCCATGCAATACTTTGCACTGTAGTCCGTCTTATGAGTTCCGGATAATGTTGACAATCTTCTCAGGAACTCCATAGTGTCGAAGAAGTTTCCATAACGTCCTCCTATCTACACTGTCAAACGACTTTTCATAATCAATGAAGTTGATGTACAGTGACGAGTTCCACCCAACTGATTGTTCGACGATGATCCGTAGTGTCGTAATTTGGTCTGTGCACGACCGATCCTTACAGAATCCAGCTTGTTGATCTCGAAGTTGGGCGTCTATTGCGTCATTACATCATTTTAGCATCAATAGTTTAACGTTTTCGATTTGTATTCTTCACGGACTTAGCTTATATTCTCATCAAAATAGATTTATAGTATTACTGTTTTTAGTTGTGTTATATGTTGACGTATCGTAATCTTGCAGTATTGTTGATATTTTCAAGGTTGTTTTTCGGTTTGTTACGTTTTACTTTCTCTTTCCCTGTCGCATAGATTATACTTTTTTCGTTACTGTTTGCTAAGTATCATATTTCCAGTTCGCAAAAGAGCAAAAGAAATGATATATTTACTATCTTTGAGTCTGATAAACTAATGGTGAGAATATAATTCATGGACGATGTGTGAAGGATGCTTAAGTGACCTTGAAAATATCCACTTGCTAGGATTAAATGAGGGTTATAAATTAGTGTCAGGAATTGGGATTTACATTTGGACGTTGGAGATTTCATTACGAATGGACATCAGCTATTCTACCGAAATGCTATTTATCTATATGGATAAATGAATTTTATGTCAAAATCCATGACTTTCTATTTTAATTCTGGTTGGTTGTTCTATAGATTAATGTCTCACCATAGAAATAATGCTGTACTTTGAGTGTTAAAAATGATTTTTAAAACTGTTCAATATTTAATACGTGTTTACCACTTCAGCCAATGATATTTTTAGCATAAAAAAGACGAAATGAAATATTTTTTGCCGAAAATTTTTGGCATTTGTAGCTCTATGTTTAGATTTATTTAGTCTTTAGTAATAGTGGTGAATTTGTCACTGGTGTCCTAAAAATTATAATAATTAATGAAAGTAAGTAATAAATAATTAGTGGCAGAAAGAACAACGACAGACATAGCGCAGCAATTACCTTGATCCATCAAATAAAATGTTTAATAAAAGTTTAGATCTAATGCATTATCCAAAGTAATGATGGCATTTGTTTTTGAAAAGAATTCGACTCTGTCATGTAAATAAACTCACATTCATTTTCCTCGCTTCTTTACTCTTTCTTAACGATTACTAATATTTGATCTGTTTAATCTTTAAGTAACTATTATATTAATATTTGACTGAATTTTTTCGAATTTCTCATTCATTATTCATTTTATAACGATCTATTTAATTTCATTCGTAAAATAATATCTTCTCAATCATTAGTATCGTCATCCATACAATTTTATCTTTGCATCAATTTCTTAACTATCCAATTATTTTCACCAAAAAAATCTTTGAGTTTTTCAATAATGTTGTCGTGACTTTCGCCTGTTATATATCACCTGATTTACTCGCTAATCACAATACAACTTAGACAATCTTAACACTGTCCTTATTGGCCCTTTTACCTGCCTAGCCCTGCTTGTTCAGTCCCGAACACCAATATCAGCTTCTACTATATAAATCGTTTATTTCAAAGATACCTTGGTTTCTATACAAGCCAAACAAACCACATCACACCATAAAATAGATAATAACATTTGTACAAATTCAAGCCAAAAAGCGGCTGTGATTCTGTGAGACTGTAATTAATAAACTGAGTATAACTTAAGGATAGTAAATATTATATTAATAGTCTGTATGTCAAAATAATGCACTTACTCAATAGTTATACAATATATATATGTGTAATATTAGTCCATTAATAGCTTCCAGAAGTTACCCATAATTTAATCTTCTCTAGGATATAAGAAATCTCACTAAAGTCACCATTAAATTCATTGTTTGTATTTCATTATCTCTTGTGAAACTTATTTATTAATGCAGAATTTCTCAGAGCTATGATAAAAGGTTAATTAAAATATGAAATATTACTTTATTCCTTCAACAACAACAAAAAAAGAAAATCCAAATAGTATACATACTAAATTCTTTAGATATTTTCTATCTTCTTTATTGATTCAATTAGATAATAAGATCAGTGTTTGCATAAACAACAAAATAAGTTTAGTTTCTTCTTTATCCCACCTTTATGTTACTAGAAGAAAATAATTAACCTTAAAATAATTGTTCTATTCTGTATTTATGAGTACCATAATTTTATGATATCTCTATTAAATTAATCTGTGCACTATTTTTTACCAACACATAATGTAGATAATAACCTTTTTGGTCAACGTATACATTATTTCTTTCTAAAAACATTATTTACTTAAGAGAGTTTAATAAGATTTCTCTACATATCAGTTTGTATATAATTGTTTATGTCGAACTTTACCTAAAATTATTATACATCGTTAAAGTGTTACAACAAAATTACAAAAGGTGTCTTAACATAAGGACGAGAGAATTTTTCGATCTGAGTGGCCACAAAATAAAATATAAATTGAGTATAAAAATGTACAATTTCCCCCTTTAGATTAGTGTACATTTTAAATTGTATTTGTTATATCCGGATGAGAATAAATGAATGGTAACCGTTAGGAATTATTTATGGCCTAATATTATACAAATATCCTTACTGTATGACCATTAATGAACTATATTTTATATATATTCATATTCCTTTCACTATAAGCTTTTGTTTGACCTATTGGTTACTGTTATATGATTTACTGTTCTCGAGTTATTCTCAATCTATTAGTCGCAGTTTCTCACAATCACAGCCACTTTTGGCTTGGTCTTGTACGAATGCTATTTCCTATTTTATGGTGTGATGTGGTTTGATTTCGCTTGTGTATAAACCAAGTATGTTTGAAATACATGGTTTGTACTGCGGAGGCTGAGATTGGCGTTCTGGACTTAACAAGTAGGGCTAGGCGAAAAAGAACCAATCGGAACTTTTATTTATTTATTTATTTCAACACATAGATATTGGTACAAAGAGGCACCAAATACATATGCGACACACAAATCTCATTCGATATGTGTGAGGGCTGTGATACTGCCCGGGTGCCCAAACCGAAGCAGGAATCGGGACTTTAGTCTGCTCGTGCTGGAGTATGGGTCATTAGTTTAGTCGTGTAAGTCAGCGTATCTAAATTGGCATTCGTATTTTGCGATAATCAATTAGCTAAGAATATAAAAGTATTAACTTGTAATGTGTAAAACTTAATTATTCCAATGGTGAAATAAGATCACAAGATAGACAGACATCATCATCCATTGCGAAACATTTGATTGAGACGGGTCATAAGGTTGATATCAAATCAGCATTTGTTTTGTTGTACAAAAGTTTTCAAGGACGTATACTAAGGTTTATTGAAGCCTTGGCTATACGAAAATTGAAACCCCTTTTATGTGTTCAAAAACAATTTGTACTTACACTTAACCTACCCTGGTAGTACTGATTTACTGTCCAGAGTGGTAATCACATTTGTTTTTATGTACTTTAATATTTTTCCTTTGTTATGACTTACCCTTAACCTGTCAAGTTGACCTTTTAATTTTTCATATATAAATGTTCTTAACAAGTATATGTGTGATCAGATTGTTCGAAATGTATTGCGCAAATATATCACATAATTCTGATAAACTACGTCTTCTCATTGCATTATCGAAATTTATCAAAGGGACTAATTGTTTTAATTATTTTCTGTTAACTTTAGATCATGCTTAACACATATCTGCCTTATTAAAAATTATCATAAACTTAATTGACTCAAAATAAGATCGTTTATTAGGTATATATGAACAGCTGGCCAGCCTTCTTTTTGGAGATACCCAAGTCAGAGCTACACGTAAAATGACAAGCAATAACAGTCAACCGGTATAACTAATAAAATTCAAAATCATTTCCTGAAGTGTAACACATTTATCCAAAAAATGTTTCTCAACGGTTTGTTTCTTAAATGCTCATATATATATATATATATATATATATATATATATATATATATATATATATATACACTTTCATTAAAAGTTATACTTGATTTAAAGTGTTTACCATTTCTATGCTATGCTTGCTAAGAAATCTGGTGCAACACAAACTTTTATCATACTATTTTAAGAGTTAAGCGTCATTTTTTAAAGCACGAAATGTTTTTATATATATGTATTGATCATGATTATGACCAACTTCTCACTTGTCTATCATAATTTATAGGTAATTCATTGGTTAGTGGCCAAAATAAGTTAATACAAATAAAAGTTAAGGCGTTACCTTATCTTTTATTGTTTACATGGTGGTTTCCTTTGTAAGAGTTTCTGTTAACCTATTTTTCTACAGTATTTTAAATTTGTGTAACGTTTCATTAAATACCTATTTCATTCAAACAGTAGTCGCTTTTTTCAGAAAAGTCTGTTGTGCTGAACAACAAATATATAAATAGAAAAGTTCACAGGCTTTGTTTTATTCTTTCAATAATCCTATTAGTTAATTTTCTTTAGAAATAACTAATATATTTTCACTGAATTCTCGTTACTTTTCTGGCATCCAAATAAGTTTAAAATGATTAAGCCTTCCGCAAATCAAATAATTCATTTTAACAGTCGTATTGAACATATTATTTAAAAATTCTATATGAATTATTGAATGCAGGTTTAATATCTTGAGATGGTGGAGATTTGTAGCTCAGGTAGATGATTTTGATGGAGTTTTGTTCTCTGAGCTGGATGGTTTGGTCGTGGAGCTTTCATCGTTCTTCTGAACGACATCATCAACACAAACTTCAGGTAGAAGTGAAATGTTTATTATGTTCTACTACATACATTTGGTGTCCGTAATCTTTAACCGCTTGAATGTATACACCTTAATCTACGCAGTTATGAATGTTCATAAACATTGATATGTAGAGAGTAATTACGATGTTTTTGCAAAACTGTCGACTTCTTTTTAGTGTTTAACATAACGTCATCACCTAGGTAATTGTGCGAATTTCAAGTGCACAAAACAATGTCCGACTCTCACTCGTCTTTTGTGTGAATAATATCTCCACGTTCCATTTATTTATTCCTTAAAAAGTTAATGTAAATACAACTCCATAAAATGTTTTCATTTTCCTATTTCTCACATCTATGTGTCATATTTTTTCCTAAATTCGTGTTATAAACCATAAAAGTAAGAGCAATTCATTCACATAACATCTCTCGTTTCAATGAATTCATTTCTATAAGCTGTACAATCTCAAATATATACTTTTTTATAGTGATAATAAGTAATATATTTGTCAAAAACATTAATTTAGTAAGCATAGAGAAGAGAACCTACTAGGAAATTGAAAAATCTTATTGTTGGGATCATAAAACTCAATAAAAACGTCATAGAAGTTAAAGAGTAATAATTCAGTAGGGGTATTGTATCACACAATAAAATAAAATATTGGGATGAAATATCATCAGGAGGTAATGGAAATAAAGCAAATCGGTTAAACGGTCAGTGGAAGAGGGTAATAACTTTGGGAAACTAGAGGTTGGACAGATTTCTTTTGTGTACAGTTTTGGCTTAACTAGATGCATGAAAAATACTCCACCAACCCTAAGAATACATAATTTCACTCTTTGATGGATTTCTGTTTCCTTTATAAGTGTCTTTCAACCCTAAGTCTGTTTTTGATTGAACGATTCGTGCTCTTAAGGTGTTCAACTATGGGGCTCCTTACGCATCCATCTTCTTGGACGGAATACTCGTGAACATGGTTATAAAAACGTAAATATTGATTCTGTGAGCTGAAACGATAACCGCTTATTGAATCATACTTTCATATCTATGAACCATAAAAACGCATGTGAAATAAATTTAATTAAAACTGAAATCTCACTCTTAGTTGCACATGAGCCTCAGTTGATCAGTGACTTAAAAAGTTTTATTAATTATCATTACATATTAAATATCAAATCAGATCTGCTTGGCATGATCAATATTTAAATAGTTAGTGTTGGCAACAGTTTCCTTAATTATCAGACATATGATCTTATCTTTTTTTTAAAAAAACCTCTATAGGATCGTCTGTTGATGGTGAAGATAATTATTATAATAGTTCAGATTCCATTTTAACTGTGCTGCAATTAGATTGTGAAATAACGAATGCTACATTATTACAATCACCTGTATATAATTCTCATGAAAAACGCTCGCCTAATAACCATTAATCAATTATTTATTTAACTCCTTTTTTTGAATCCATCTTTTTCTGCTTTTATTTATATTCGTAATGATTATTTTGTATATTTTTTCCTTCAGTGTTTTCATTGTAAACTATTCAACGTGTTCACTGTTAAAAATTTCATATCTCATTTCACTGAATAAAGAAGTTGGTTGTTTTTTTTTCTTTTCGTTTTACCATAACGTTACTTACATTTCAATGATCCTAATTTATGTTATTATAGTCTGTGTTCATTTATTTATGATCAATTATATTGTTCTGTTTTACTTCTTGTATTATTGTTTCTTTCCTCCTCCTTGTCATGATCAATTTTCTGTGTTTTTTTTCTTTTTTTCTAAAATGTTTATTTATAATAAAAACCATTTTCCTTTAAGAACACAACCATAATAATAAGCACTCAATTCATCTTCAATTTATTCATACTGTTTAACATATTTTTTTTTGTAATTTTTAACTAATGTATGTTAGTTAATTGAGTGCAATGAAAAAAATTGAGAAAAAGAAAGTTTGCTAATATTATTTATTTTCTAAGTTAATATGTAGTAGTATGTAAACACTAAACTATTGTGTCATTTTAAATAATAAATTATTATTTCGTATCATATCTGTTTCATTTTCTGATGTTTTCAATTTATTGTTTAAACAGAACAATATTGAGTTACACTGCTCTGTATTCATGGAGAATTGACTAAAAGTGTACAGTAATCAGTTACATGTTTTCAAAATAATAGATGTAATCAGAAAGGGGAATTCCTTCAATACGGACATATAAAACATAGAAATTTGAGTATAGTACGAACTCCAGCCAGGAATTCTGCAAATTCCGACAGCTCCGACCAGCAATCTGACTAAATTTGACCAATATAAGCGCTTTCCGAATCTTTTATGTTAACAAGCATTGTATATCATCGTAGGCGGTGGTTAAGCAGACGTAGCATTTATAACTTAGTAAATGGATTTCGTCTTTTTTCTGTGCTGTATTTTAGCATTAATTATTGGTTCTTCAACATGTATAGGTATCCCTACGTTCAAAATAGTGAAAAGAAATGAGCATTTGGTCCACAAGTCGAGGGTTGAAGTCAGTCTGTTTTTTTCTGGTTTACCTGTCCTGAGCTCCAACCTACGGTCAAATGTTTATGGATTTTATATTTTAAACGCTATACTAGTCATAATTAATCACTTTCTGGATAATACGAAAGGAATTTTTTCCTTTCTACTAAGCTGAGAATGTCAGCCATCGAGACTAATCAGATAGAATTATATCTAGCTTCCAATTAGTATTATCAATCTAACCGCTAAAACCAGATTATCATATCTATAAACATCCAGAGTTAACCTGTCAGTTCTTGTAGATCTTTTTCACTTCAAATTAGATATGGTTTTTTGAACCTAGCAAAGAGCTGATAATCCTGTGTTAATCTCATTCAGGTACATGCTTACGGTTTCCAATTCAAATAATTGCTTTAATTATATGTTAATTGGTTATAATCTAAATCTGGTAATCGAAAACATGTCACCGGATCAAATTGTTTTTGGTCGCTAGAGATAAAAGAGGGTTATAATCTATGTTCAGAGAAATATACAAACACTAATAACAGAAGACACAACTGGTACTATTGGTCATTAATAACGACACAGATTCATACCAATGTTCCTAAGACTACTGACAGCTTTCATTTAACAATAAGTTACGCTGTTCAGCAAACTGTGCGGTTATGTGGGTCAATCCTCGTTTATAAATTTGTTACAAATTTAAAAAGAATACACTTATTATTCTATACCAGGCAAATATTTTAATGATGTTTACAACTTAATAATGCTTTATTCGAGTATCGAATTTATCGCAAAACTTGAGAAAAAGTGATACCTAGGTATCTTCCAAAAATATGATAGGGTCTGCCAAAGTTATACCCTTCGTAAACAAATTTAGCCCTTACAAAAGATCCCACAGATTTTTTACGACAAGCCATGAATATGGTTTTTCACATCGCACTATGATGGAGTCAGAGAGCTATCACCGGCAGATACTTGAAAATGATTGTCAAAAGATAGAGAAATGTATTCAAAAAGATGAGCTGTTGAAAACTAAGCAAAAAATAGTGTTAATGGACCACAAAAGAAAAAGAATATATCAATCCTATTTTGTTAGAAAACTAGTCATATGGCAAAGAGGATTAGTCGACATTAAGTAGATTAATTTTCACAGCTAAAGGATTTGAAACTCTTGCAATGAAAAGTTCAAAAAGAAATGCGAACAAGAACGTATAATATGTGAAGTCAATCATGAAAAATTACGTGATAAAACGGGTGAACTCAAAGGACAGAAATGCATGTATATAGTCCTTTATAAAACATATCTCAGACGATAAAGAAGTCATCATAGCCACTTGCGCGATAGTAAACATGACGTGAATCTAAAAAAGTGAACAAACAATCCAGTTTTATTCCTAGGATTGAGAGAAATCATAGTGGTTTGAAATGTTTGGATGACATAAATGGATTATGTCAACATAGATTATTAGCTTCAACTATAAATGTTCTCTTCAATCTCCATATATTTTTTATAAGTCTATTATGTGTTGGTGTGATACAGATTGGATTGAAGCATGTTCAGTGCAGTATTGAAGTACGCTGATTGACTATTTCTTAACCAGTCAACGCTAGCGGATACTTGGGGAAAACTAGAATAATCTTGTACAAAAATCATAAAATACACTAACGTTCCTGCACAACAGTGTTCTGATTTGGAGACTTGTCAAGTGAAGTAGTCCAGAAATATTAAGCAATAAAAGCTTATATGAGCGTCATAACATTATGCCATAAGATTACTCTCTCCACTGTTCTAAGGCTATGACCATAACTTCATAAATTTAAACTTCGTTCTGGTTCTCATGCTGAATGAACGACTGTTTAGCGACAAACAGTCCATTTTCCAGGTCTGTTAATATCTATTAAAATATAGATTATCATCAGGAGTATCGAGTTAGGAAGAAACAGCTATTCAATGTTCTTTAGTATTCAGCGGTCTTCCAGCTTAACAGGGCTTGATATAGATAAAAACAAAGCAAAAGAGACTTACCAAAAACATTTCATCAGTAGAAGAAAGCTAAGTACTAAAAAATGTTTCTCAGATAAACTATCAAACCTTTCCAAGGTTAAACGTGGTAAAATTGATTGCAAAGTATAGATTTCACACAACGAATTGTTGAATCTCAAGCATATTAGCTGATTTGTATTTATATAATCCCAGTGTTAATTTCTGATATTAGGATAATCTAAGATATACATGTATATATCCTTTGCTTTAGTTTGGGTGGATGGTTTTAAGCACTAAACATAGAGCTACACTGAATCGACCACTTTCTCATATAATGAAATTAATCATACACTAACTGAATGTAAAAAAGTTTATTTGAAAATGAATGTCTGAAAGTAGAAACACTCTTCAGTGATCAATACAAAAAATGGTGCTACTGGGTCATATTTATATACTCGTTTAGAAACAAGAAATTTAGCTTTGTTTTCAAGTCATAATTACACATCTATATTAGTTAAAACTCAGGTAAAGCAGATTCCAAGAAATACTTTTAAAGAAAATTAAAATCATGTTTACCTTAACTATGCATCACAGATATTGTAGCTATTAAGATACTTGTATAGCAAGCGTCACCAAATAAATAAAAGTAGGTGTAAAATATTTGAGTTTTTGGTTGAATAAAATGTGTCACACAGAAATGAAACACTTCCTTCTTAACTTATTCCAGTATTCAACTTGACTATTGAACGATTTATAGACATTACCATAAATGGAAAAGTGTTATCTAGGTTACATACAGTAGTAGACTTAGGACTTAGATATTCCCAAGACTTGTCGTTTACAGAACATATATTAAAACAAACCTCTAAGTCTCAACGTCTAATAGGTTACATAACTCGAAAGCTTTATAACAATGAGTCACGTATTCTAATGTACAAAGTTTGTGCTCGACCTCTTCTAGAATATTGCACGTTTATTCTTAGCAGTGCGCTCATAAAGGATAAATTAAGGCTGGAATCAGTACAGAGACGATTTACACTTCGTATTCTTGGAGCTGATTGTACCATAACTTATAATTCTAGATGTAATAAACTTGGGCTAGACCCTTTATGAAGGAGGAGACTCAAACTAAATCTTATCTTTTTCTTCAAACTACTTCATAAAATATCGTTTACATCCGATCACGCGATTCAATATGCAGAAACCTCTCATTATGACATCCGTAATTCCTTGGCACTAGTGAAACAAACTCATTCTAGATCATCTCTTTATATGAATTACTTCACCTGTAAATTTTCTAGACTCTGGAATAACCTACCACAATCTATCCGCACGATAAAATCACTCCCATTATTTGTTCGCTGCATCGATGCATACTGCTCCTCTGAAAATGCATTGAATGGTCTAGCGCCTTTATGTGTATCTCATTCCACAAGTGATATTTTAGGAACCTTAAATGTTTAGCCATCTTTATTAGTGAATTCCCTTAGTAAAACCACCCACTTGCTGTCAATATGTTAACACCGCCCCTAGCAACTTTAACTAATTTGAATAACATCAACAGTACATCACTGTGTCACATGACACGCATTTAGGTAGACCTGATTGATATATTTTGGTAATTACTTTTTCGTTGTTCCGTGCTCTCTGTTTTCGTTTTAATTTCTCTAGTTGTAGGTAATTATCGTTATTTCGATCTGGCACACGAATTGACCTTAATTACACCGTTCATAAATCAACAGGCTGTGCATTTAAGAAATATTAAAAATTCCCCGCTGATGCATTGGATCGCTGTAATATATGTACTACTTAAACAACTACTGAACTAGTATACTTAAAACTTTCTTCTATCACATGTTTGTTCTGTACATCTAATGTTACTATTTATACTAAATTGATCATGCCTGTAAACTGGCGTGAATTTTGTAATTATTATTTTCCAGAATATAAATTATTATTATAAATAGGAAAAGCTAGGTACAGCTAAATTTAGGATAGATAACAGGATTCTAAATATTTTATGAGATCCAAACCATCAACCCTCGAACCCGGATAAACCCATACAAATGACTGATAAAAAAATTTCATACATTTTCACTTTCGACATATTTGAAAATAATAATTGGCACTTTCTAATAACATGTGTAGGAGTTAATGTTTTACTTAATTTAACCAAGTAGTCATATATTATTTCTTTATTATATATATGAACAGAAATCAAATATTGTTTAGTAAGGGCGGGCTACTGAGTTTTTTAAATATTTTATCTCTTACGTAGGATTCGTTTCTTTGAGGGATATTGTACACACAATGAAAGACTCAAACAGGAACGACACGGCGTCTAAAAACAATCAAAAGGCAACCCGACACGCTTCTATTTATGCTGAAAATCCCCCCATTTTAATCTGATTCACTATCCCAACGTCCTATAGAGATTTTAGGTACCGATCACAGGATACTAGAAAATTACATGTATACTGTTTACAAGCATAGATGGTGACCAACTGTTCACAGCTAATATCCGCAGAGGATTCTGATTCTCTCGTTTACAACCAAGCCATTTTCA